GGTCAGTAAATAGAATATTTTGTTTTCTCCTTTGTTATTTCACTGCACCCTCACCTTATTTATGTGTTACGAGAAAAGGCGGGAAAAAGACCCGTTGAGGAAATCACCAGTGTCTTGCTTAGGACGGTTGCTCATGAGAAACGTCTGGAATTATCATATTAGCCGTCTGATCATCTCAAATCACGATCAGATTGCAATTGAGGTCAGTAAATAGAAATTTTTGTTTTCTTCTTTGTTATTTCACACGATTTTCCCCTCTATAAATAAACACACACACGAGAGGAGAGGAAAATAGAAGAGAGGAATAAAAGGGGGAAAAATGAAGAGAGAGGCAGAGGCAACTGAGTCACCGCCTCCTGCAAAGAAGAAGAAGGAGATTACCCTGAGAAGCTCAGACGGCGCACTCCTTTCCGCGGACGAGTTCCTGGCAGAGCAGTCGGCCGTGGTCCGTAGAGCTATCAATTCCAATCCTACTGACATTCCTCTCAACGTTCCCTCCGTCACCGAAAGCGTCCTCCATTTGGTCATCGAATTCTGCAAGAAGCAGGCCGAGTTCACCGCCGAGATTAATGTCGCCTCCAGTGCAGGCAAGAAAGCTAAGGGCGTCATTGTCGATTCCGTAGACAACACTACAGAAGGTAAGGACGCGATCGCCGTCGATAATGGCACGGCTGCCATAGAGAAGAAGAGGAGGGACTGGGAGGAGGACTTCTTGTTGGTCGACCACGACGTTCTCTACTACCTCATCATGGTGAGGACCCTCTTGCTTGATTTCTTTTGATGTCCCTTGTTCTTGATCTTGATCGACCTCCAATATCTATGCTCCGCCGCATATATGCTACGATTCATGGGTGTATTATTCTCCTTCTTCTTCTTCTCCATCAACTGCAGTTTGTGTTCATTTCTTTCCTATGGATATGCATTGAGCCATTCTTGATTGATCCCTCGTGTTTATGCCACTGCTGGACTATGTTTGGGTAGGCTTTGACCTGGATAGTGGAATACCATGATATGTTAGGAGTAGGCACGAACGGAAGCCAAGATCAAGCAAAGAAACGTTGATTTAGTAGGACGGAATCGGGTGGGTGCTATAGGTTGTGGACCTGAAGCTAACTTTACTGAAATGGGATCGACATCAAGAATTTTAGCGGAAGATTTTTTGGTGGATGTTGTCATTATATAATATATTATTACTAGTTAGCCCTTGATCTTGTTGGAAAAAGGTTATTTTAAGCTCAATTTTGAGTTATTTATGGAAATTTAGGGATTCTTGAAATTGATTTCTGTAGTACTTTGATGGCAATCGCTTGTAAAGAACAGGTTCGAATTACCTTGATATTTTGAAGGAGTAGAAGATATAGGCCTCAGTCTTGACCTTTTCTAAGGAGTAAAGAGGAAAACCCACCCCCCAAACCTTGCACCAAATGTTGATGTTTCTTAGGGAGTAACAATTAACTTCACGACTCATTGGCATAGAAGAGCTGATGGAATGTAGTCCTAGGATGATGAGTTCATGTTGGGAATGAAGCTAATAGAATTAGATGAAGCAAAACAAGGAAATTTATTCTTGAATCTTATTGCTGCAATAGAACTTCTTTACTAAGTTCTTGTAATTTTCTTGACATGTATGTATTACAGTTTGTTGTTGCTACCTTGGTTAAGATGTAGTATGTCATCGGACTGTCTGACAACTTTGTCAAGGATAATACAAGAAGTTTCTGCTTTGTATTGTCAATGTTATAGATTTTCTTTTTCTGTTTTGTAGTGGTTAAATTTGTCATCCTATATATTCTTTGTTAGGGACTGCTGTTCAAACTTATCCAGAGAAACTGAGAACTTGGAACCCTTGTATTGAATCTCTGCTCATTCTTGCTTGAAATCACTATCTAAACTGAAGATTTCCCAAGAGTAATAATGTCACAGGTTTGTGGGGGATACCTGGTAGTAGATTCATTTTGTTCCCTTGCTCACTTTGGTAGTACATGCAACATTGTGTTTCGTCAGAAGCATTGCCTTTAGACTATGAATTTTGAGATCGAATGAAACTGTTCTTATTGAGGTCATGCCACTCCTTTTAGCCAATTCAGGGTGCTACATGTACCGAATCTATCAGAAGAATTAATTGTTCCGATTATGCAGGCTGCAGATGATCTTGAGATCGATAGCCTCCGCAACCTGACATGTAGGAAGCTTGCTGACTTGACGAAGAATAAGAGTCCAGAACAAATCCGAGGGATGTTAGGCATTGATGATGACTTCAGTGAAGAGGAAAAACGAGAGATCAGGAAGGAGCTTCAATTGTTTTGAGACTGATGATCTGATGGGCTGCTCATTTGTTGCCAGTGGAGAAGAATATGATTAGTATTAGGACAGAATTCTTCTGTTCACTACAGTGGAAACCGAAAACCTGAGTCTATTCCCTCGAATAGAGAAGAAAATAGTTAACCAGAGATTTGATCCATATAATATCAGACTTAGGACCATTGCTTCTCCTTGATCTTTTGTCATATAATCTGAGCATCTACAGGTGTAGCTATTCTTCTTATGTTGATATGCAGCTCGAACTTTTGAATTCCATAAAACTATGGTTGAAACATGGGGAAATTGTACATTTGCATATCCTCTATGTTGCACTTTCTGGAGAGGCTTTCATGATATAGATTCTGATGAAATGGCGTGGTTCTCTTGGCAGGAAAAGTGGCGTGTGCCTCCGGAGACTCTCTCTGCTGAAGGATTGTGTGTGTCCACGTCGTGGCACTTTTGCTCAGCTATCCCGTCCCTAGCGTCCATGCAGCACATCACGAGGCGCATGGGTATGGAACAAAACCTCACGCACAGCCACTGCTTTTCTACTTGTGGTTTCTTTCGCAAAGTAATCCTTACATGAATAATTTAGGGTTAACTTATCTTCTAGTTTGGTGTTACAGCAGCTTCGAAGCTAGTTTTCAGATAAGGTTCCACAAGATCTGCCATTTAGGTTCACTAACTCAGGCTATCCACGTCAACTTAAGGGTCATGTCACTTTCGATAGACTTGTTGTTTTGAGTGTCGGCTTTAAATGGGATTAAGTCTTTCCGTCTCCAGTTATAATTATCACAAGGTAAAGGTAGCCAAATGAGTCAGAGCCACACATGCTGCATATCACGGTTCGGGTGCCTGACCTCAAGGCACAAGCCATGGAAATGGCATGTCCAACTCTAGAAGTTATCAGAGATTAAGCCAAGTGCAAGTTGGATTTTCTATCTTATTGGGCCATGTGTGAAGATCCAATGATTAAATGGATCTAACTTTAATGATCCATCATGTCCATGCTATTGGATCGGCCAAACGGGCCAATAGGTTCCACTGGGCAAATAGGATGTGCACGTAATACGTACGCTAAGGATGTACATTTACTTCCGCACGTAAATGTCTTTTAAAAGGCGGTCGACGCTGCTAAACCAGAGATAATGTAGAAACAGCAGCACGAGTCCCAGCTACGGAGGTCCTTTTCCTTGTGATGGTGGCCGTGCTTTTAGTTGAAATCGCAACTTGGATAGGATGTGGATGTGGGTTGATCTCAGAAAAGCTGGTCGGTGCTCACCCAACCAGAGACACATGGGAGGGGATAATATTCCGCAGAAAAGCGTTTCCCATTACGGGAGAGAGACTAGAAAAGGGTGGCGTGGACCGCTAGGAAAGTCTTCTCTAGGCATAGGACAGGAACCCGAGACAATAAAGTAGCAGAGACTTTGATTGCCTGTGATAAACTTATACTCACCTGCTGGGCAAGATGACGATAAAAAACAATTGGGCTGAGAAGCACGTTTTGTGGTTGGCATTGACCTGTTTTGGACACGAAAGTCTCTATCTAAGAAAACTGACCCTTCTTTCCTTCTTTTTTGATTATTTAAAAGGAAAAGAATACTGTGCTTATTAAGAAACCCAAGACCGTAAAAATGCTGACTTCCGATCTCATGTTTTTCCCGTTTCCTAACACGTTGAGATTCGTCCACACTCATCCTTTGCTTCTCAAGTCGTAGAAAATAATTGTGCAGACTCCCCAACTCCCCGTGCCTCCCGAGTCATGCGTTTGGAAACATGAAGCGGGGAATCATCTACGCCAAAGAAAGCCAAAACACTCGACCAAACCTTGGTTGCCTCACATCGTTCACTTCGAAAAAGATATCAAATCTAATTTCTAACAAGCGCACACAAGGTTTCGGCCGTTGGCTTGCGATGCACATGTTTAGATCTTTTTCATTCCGGGTCGTTAGTTATTATGGTTGCCCAGTGCATCATTCATCCTCCATCTTCTATATGGCTGCCTGGCGAAGCTTCCAAGTTGGATCAAAAATATTAGAGATATATATATATATATATATATATATATATATGTATGTATATATATGTATATATAATGTATATATAATGTATATATACAGACAGACAGACACATGTATTCCAGAATCAAGTGGCACCAAAGCATACGCGGGCAGCATCCATCACTTTCCGCGTGCCCCGGTCGAGGAGGCTCGAGAGCGAAAGCTACGGTCGGATGGAGGTGCATCTCTCCTGGATCGGACGGTCCACAACGAAAGGTCGGTGGCCGTCCTCGTTTAATTAACTCACTTAAATTATTGTGCTTGTCCCGCGATACCAAGTAGGAGAGAGAATCCTCGCTCGTCACAGCTCCTACAGTCCTACTTTAATCATCACTCGTCCTATTTCATCATGTTGTTTAAAACAAGACAGTAAGATCGTCCCCCATGTCCTTGTATAAAACAGCAACTGCAACGTCTCAGAATCATCGGTGAGGAGAGGAGAGGAGAGGAGAGGAGGGGATGGGGGGGGGGAGGAACTCCTCGTTGTTCGTTCGTACTCCTTTGGTGGCTGGTACCTGAGGACGGGAGAGGAGAGAGTATTTATCGATTGCTTTCTGCAACCAATCTATACTCACAAACCAGATCATTGATAGGAATAATAGATCTGATCTTCCTGTGTGTGTGTGTGTGTTTTTTTTTTTTTGTGGGATTAGGAAGACATACATATATAACACCGATCTGTATGGTTTGTACAGCCTTTTGCTTCCGTTGCTATATACCACCACCACCACCTCTTCAAGGAGCTCCATGGACAGCATCCTCCTCGACCAGTCTCAGGTGAACCCAAGAAAAGTTTCTCTTGACGTCGCTGCTGATTCCGGAGGAAGGTTTGTGCCGAGAGCTATACACGGTTCTCTCGGCTCCTATTCTTCCTTGACCCAACATTTACCAGACCATCATGCTGCAGTAGGTGGCTTCCGGTCATGCGTGTCGCAGCCTCTGCAGCCGCCGCAGCGGCCACTGCTTTATGCTTCTCTTCCCTCTTCGTTTTGCGCTGATCTAATGGGAGGAGTGCCTCCTCCTCACCATCATCATCTCCCTCCTCTGCCACACCTTCAACAACCGCCTCTTCTCCCCCTTCCCTTGACCAAATCAGCAACCCTTCCCCCGTCTCCCAAGGTGACCAGAACGAACACCGGTACGGGGATGGCTCGGTCGAGAGACCACAGGACGAAGCCGAAGCCTTGGGCGAGTTCAAAGAAGGAAACACAGCCGTCGACCAAGGCCGCTGTTCAACCCCGCGAGCCAAAAGACGAGCCCCAGAAGACGATGAGAGAGGGGGTGGCCATCGTGTCCAACAACGGGGAAGGGAAGGAGGAAGAAGAGGAGGAGATCTATATGGAGTCCATTTACTCGCTCTCTCCGCCTCCGGCCAACCTTCCTCTGCCTAGTTTCCTTCTTACCAGGCACAGGGCCGCCTGTAACACCCAAGTTATCATGGAAGGTGGTGCTGGTGGCCGCGGTTGAGTGGACGCCGAAGCCGACGACGTCCTCCACCCCAAGAAAAAAAAACATTGTCGTGATATTTCCTTTCCTTTTATTTTTTCTTTTTTTTTTCTAATTCCACGTTTCGGCAGACTTCAATTGCTGAATCATGGGAATGCAAGTTATGAAGGGGAAGAAGGGCCATAGTTTTGTGATAGCCCTTCTTGTCTATGGAAGTGTGGATCAAGGTCATCGTCCTGTATGTATCCTCTTTTTATTGGGTTAAGATAGGGTCCGTGTCCATCGCTGTGTGTTCACTTCTTATGGCCTTCTTTTAAGTAAGGCTTGGAAAACCTGGGAGCCCCTCCCTCGATTTGCTTTGTTCACTCTTTAGCTTTAATCGCTGTACCCACTGTGGCTTTGTAGTATAAATAAACAGACTATGTTTCTTTCTTTACCCTATTATCATGATGTCTAAGTTCTGATATAGCATTGGGACGCCCGAATGTCCTATTTGCAAGTGCTGCTTCTAACCATCTCCTTTAAGCAACAAATCCCTCCGACGGGTAAAAATCATGAGGTAAATCAAAGAAAATTTATTATAAAAATAATGTATATACAAATCTTAAAGTGTATTGTTCAAAACCCAAGCAACATTCGCAAGAGAATAATTGAGATACAAGGATTATATTACTATGCATAATATCTAAAATCTTTCCAAATGATCATAGTAAAAATATACTGTAAATCTAATCTAACTTGAGATGAGAACACTGTCTGGATGATTGAGATTAGCCTATGTATTGTTCTTATCTTCTTTCATTTCCTTCTTCTCTTATTTTTTTGTCCTCAATTGTCACCGTTGCTTCTCTCTTTTTCACAGCCACCACCGTCCCCTTTTTCTATCCTAGCCATCACACATCTTAGTTAAAGGAGTTAGGATTTAGGTTAAAAGAGAAGGGGTTTTAATAGCTATGGGCTATGGGTTATTAAAACCGGGCTAAACTAATGGGCTATCTGCCCAACAACCTCCCCCTTCAACCCATAAGGGAGGCTATCTCATGACTCCTCTATGTGAAGCCATGCCGATCAATCGTCTTTTTATCTCCTACCTTTCTTTCGGTAAGATCTTTATCAACATGTCTGCTTTATTATCATTTGTGTGAATTTTTTGAAGTTGCAATTACTTCTTTTTAAGTACATTTCGAATCTAGTAATATCTGACATCTATATGCTTTGATTTGGAACGAAAGGTTGAGTTCTTACACAAATAAATGACGCTCTAGTTGTCATAATGCACTATATAGTTTTATTGTTTCAGCCCCAATTCTTATAAGAATTCTTTCAATTATAATATTTCTTTACAAACCTCTATAGCAACGATATATTCTGTCTCTGTGGTGGAGAAAACAATACACCTTTACAATCTGGATTGCTATGATATAACTTCTCTTACAAAAGTGAGTACAAAACCTGATGTGGACTTCTTCGTATCAATATATCTTGTCGTATTTGCATCTATATAACCTATCAATATAGATGATCTATATCCAAAGCTTAAACAAACCTTAAAGCTCCCTATGAGATATCTAAAAATTTACTTTATTGTTGCCTAATATTCATTGCTTGGATTTACAAGAAATCTGTTAGTAACACCCACTGCATATACGATGTCCGGCCCTGTAAATATCATCGCATATATTAAACTTCCAATTGACATTTTATCTTTCTCCTTATCACTTGACGGTCTCTGCTCTAAGTATAACTTAAAGTGACATGAGAGGAGAACTAACTAGATTTGTATTTCTCATACTGAACCTTTTCAATACATTCTCGATGTATTTCTACTATGACAACAAAATCTTCTTGTTTTTTCTATCATGAAAAATCTGTATGTCCAGTATTTGTTTTGCTAGCCTTATGTCCTTCATTACAAAGGATTCACTGAGTTCTTTCTTCAACTTGTCAATTATAAACATATCTTTCCCAAGGATAAGCATATCATCAATATAAAGTAAGAGAATAATAAAATCCTCACCAAACCATTTGATATACACACAATGATCTGAAGCCATTCTTTTATATTTATTTTTAATCATAAATGAATCAAATTTTCTGTACGACTATCTTCGAGCTTGCTTCATACCAAACAAGCTCTTTCTCAACTTGTAGACAAAATTTTCTTTACCTTTAACTTTGAAACCTTCTAGTTGCTCTATATAAATTTCCTCCTCCAAATCACTATGAAGGAAAGTTGTCTTCATATCTAACTGCTCAACCTCTATGTTCAAGCTAGTAGCAATACCAAGAGCGACACGAATAGAAGACATTTTAACAACAGAAGAAAAAATATCTTCAAAGTCAATACCTTTCCTTTGACCAAAGTCTTTCACAACTAATATAGTTTTATACTTTAGTTGAGAATAATGTTCTTGAGTCTTCAACCTGAAAACGTACTTGTTCTTCAAAGCCTTCATTCCCTTTGGTAGTTGCATCAAATCATATGTGTGGTTCTTTTGTAGAGCATTCATCTCTTCTTACATAGCAACTAACCACTTCCTTTTCTGCTCACTTTTAACTACTTCTTGGTAACTCTCTGGTTCACCTGCATCAGTAAGTATCACATACTCATCTGTAAAGTATCTTTTGGAAGATTGGCATTATCCAGAAGATCTTCTCAACTGAGGTTTAGTGGGAAGTTGCTCTCCAACTACTTCTTGCTCAACATGTCCTATAGGTAGATTAACATCGGGCTATACACCATATTCCTACATATCTCCCCATCACCCTAATATATTGGAGGAGTAGCTGAGTCACAATCTACTAATCCTTCTGCAGAAATCTCGGCTGGTGCCGCCTTCAAATCCTCAAGGGCTTGATCCTTAAAGAAGACAAAATCTCTGTTTCTAAACACCTTATGCTTTTCTGGATCCCAAAACCTATAACCAAATTGATCATATGAGTAGTCAAGAAAAATATATTCTTTTGTCTTATCATCCAACTTGGACCTCTCATTGTTTGGAACGTGTGCAAATGCACGATTACCAAACACTCTTAAATGCCTATAGGAAACATCTTTCCCTGACCATGCTTGCTCTCCAACATCATCATCTAGGATTATACAGGGTGACAAGTTGTTCACATCAACTGCAGTCCTCAAAGCCTCATCCCAAAACTTTTTGAGTAGCTTGGCCTATGAAAGTATACATTTTATCTTTTCTATGATAGTGTAATTGCATTATGCTGAGGTGTACTAGGAATTGTCATCTTATGGTAGATGTCATATGACCTACAATAATCATCAAACAATCTTGTGTACTCAGCACCATTATCTGATTATATGCATTTCAATTGCTTTTTTGTCTTCTTTTGGTATGAAACTCTTTGAAGATATTAATAATTTGATCTTTAGTGTTCATAACATATACCCAAACTTTCCTGAAAAAATCATCTATAAAAGTGATAAAATAAAGTGCGCCACTGATATCAAGAACATTAATAGATCCGTCAATAGTTTTTATCCTCAAAGGACCACATACATCTATATAAACATGGTCCAGGACATGCATTTTTTTAGATAAAGCAGAACTAACAAAGGAAACTCTATGTTGTTTACCAACCAAACAATCAATACAAGGGTTTAGACGTATACCTTTGAGGTCGGGCAATACCTGTCTCTTGGAAAGAACTTACAGCCCCTTCTCACTCATGTGTCTTAGTCGTCGATATTATAACTCAATGCTGAAGTCTTTCTCTATAGCATTCAACTGCTCGCCACAAGTTTTAGCCTACAAGTTGTACAAAGTATGATATTTCTTCCCACTAGCTATAATAAGAGAACCCTTACTAAGCTTTCATTGCCTTTTGTGAAATCTACTATCAAAGTCTTCATCATCTAGCCTTCAAAGTGAAATTAAATTAAGCCTCAAGTCAATCACATACGTCACATCCTTAAGCACTAACTTGCAGCCAAGATTAATCTTTATATAGATATCACCCATGCCGATGATGTCTACCATGCCATAGTTGTCTATCTTAACAATATCAAAATTTCCAAACCTGTAGGTAGCAAAAAACTCCCTCCATAGTGTAGCATGATAAGAAGTACATGTATCAATCATCCACTTGAGATCCTGACACACACAAGAAATAATATCATCGGAAGGAGACAAAATTAAATAATCACCACCCTGTACTATAGCTGTGGTATTATTTTTTGACTTTGTATGCTCCACTTCTTTTCCTTTTTTCTTGCTCTTTTTAAGTTGTTCGTATTGATTCTCGTAATGTCCTTTCTCACAACAATTGTAACAAACAATATCTTTTCTTGATATTGACTTGCTTCTATCCGTGCATGAGCCGCTTCTATCCTTGGACTTTATTATTTGTTCTCTAAGATAAGTACTTGTGAATCAATCTGAGATATTGCTGAATTCTTTCTTCTCAACTCCTCATTCAACAAACTGTTTGTTACTTGACTCATAGTGACAATACCATCTGGTGCAGAATTATAAAGGAAAACAACTATTGCCTTCCAACTTTTTGGCAATGAATTGAGAAGTAACAATGCTTGTAACTCATTATAGAGACATTTTCATAGAGGATAACTAGTTTGTGATACTGTATATTTCATTCAAATGCTCAGCAATAGAAGTGTACTCTTTATATTTCAGGTTCACAAGTTTTCTAATAAAGAAAGCTTTGTTGTCAGTCGTTTTTCTTTCATAGAGACATTTTAACTTTTTCTAAAGAAAGTACGTAAAACTTTTAGTAGAAATATAGTAAAAGACACTGTCATCAAGCCACTATCGAATAAACCCTATTTTTTAGTTTAACCTCTTCCACTCATCATCTATCATAGTTGTGGGCTTTGTATTATCCTCTTGCAATGGTCCATATAAATCTTTGTAATACAAGAGATCTTCCATTCTTGGTTTCCCTATCATCAAATCGTTTCTATTCAAGCTAATCATGTGAGGAACACTACCTACCTCCATGTTCGAACACAAAAATTAAATACCACTAAAACTCTACCCTGACACCAGTTGATGGGATGAAAAGAGAATTTTTATATACGAATAAGTACAAGCATGTCGTAACATAAAATGGAATTAAATTGAAATCACAATCAAATAGGGATACCAAGATTTACGTGAAAAACACTTCCAACGTGAAAGATAAAAACCACAGGGCAAGTCAAAGAAAATCTACTATAAGAATGCTGAATATACAAATTTCAAAGTCTCTTGCCAAAAACTCAAGCAATAATCACAAAAGAATAACTGGGATACAAGGATTATGTTAGTGTGCACAATATCCAAAATCTTCGTAAGTAATCATAGCAAGAATCCACTGTAAATATAATCTAATATGAGATTAGAACACCGATTGAATGATTGAGATCAACCTATATGTTATCCTTGTCTTCTTCCCTTACTTTTTGTCTCTTATTTTTCTACCTTCAATTGTTATCGTTGTTTCTCTGTTTTTCACAACCATGCTTGCCTCTTTTTCTACCTTAACTGTCGAGCCTCTTGGTTAAAAGAATTAGAATTTAGAATAAAAAAAGATTTTAATAGCTGTGAGCTATAAGTTATTAAAGCCTTGTGTTACGACCTAGTCAAACCTGTTTGCATATAGAAGTCTTTAAATTCTTGGTTTCATGAATCATGCTTGAACGCGTCCAAAGAGGACGCAAAAAGTAACACGAAGATGTTCGACAATAACCAAGAATGTGTGGATCCAACACACCCAATGTTCAAGCATTATTCCACACGCCTAAAAAGCTCAGGCTGGGACTGGTATGTTACCATATAGGAACTCGACGGATGGCGCTTCAAAACTTCGAGCCCACATAATTACGTGGTGCACACCGAGTTCTATATACTTCGCATCGCACTAGTTTAACAGAGGGCTTCATTCATCACACTATCCAGAGGTTTGGTCAGCCACCCAGACCACTACCACGTAGAAAATTTCCAAAGTGCTAGCTCATTTGTTTTTAGTAAAATACCTAATGTCTGCTCATGCTGGCTGCATCCTACTTTTGCATTGTTGTTCTTGAAAATATTTTGCATCCCTTTCTAGCACTGATTTACATAAGCTAATTACATATTATACTTTATAGTTGTCATTTTTAGAATTCTGATCCGTATATTTAAAAAAAAATTATATTGATATTTCTATAGTTACGAAGGTAAAATATTTATGTCCATTTATCATAACGACATCAGTTTTAATAACGAAAAAAAATATATATAAAAAAGTAAAAAAATAAATTTAACATTGTAGTGGTGGTGATAAAAAACGACGTCACTAGCATCGATGCCGACATAATTATCGAGTGACCCTTTCTCCCTCGTTGCCCTCCGCCTCCTCTCCCTCTCGTGATTGCCTCTACCTCGTCCACCTCTCCCCCTGGCACACACCTCTCAAAGAGGTGGACAGGGCGAAGGCAATAGCTAGAGCCCTCACGACCACCTCCACCTCCTCTCCCCCTTGTGCTCAACGCTTAAAGAGATGGATAGGATGAAGGTGACAACCAAAGCCCTCACAATCAAAATCACCATCGCCTCGCCCACCTCCTCGAGGGGTGAACACTAACAATGACAAGAGGGGTGAGTGCAAGGGAGAGAGAAGATGGACACCGACGATAATGAAAGGGGTGAACACTAGGGAAAGAGAGAGCAACAACGAGAACGACAAGGGGAAAAAAATCGCTCAACAATTACGTTGACGTCGATGCTAACAACACCATCATCTACCACCACCGAAATGTTAAATTTATCCTTTTATCTTTTATTTTCATATTCCGTTAATAAAACCAAATGTTTTATTTTCACTGTTAAGATAAATGAATCTAAATATTTTATTTTCGTAACTATAAAAATATCAATATAACTTTTAAAAATATTGACTAGCTACAAAAAAATAATCTATAATTAGCCCAATTTACACCGTCATTTTTCACAAAACAATAAAAACTAAAGTATATATACCCTGCTGCAGAATAAAATAAGAACAAGACTGCCCAACCAATGGATTTTGCTTGTAGCAGCTGAGTCATAAGTTTATTTGGATAGCCAAAGGAATCTTTTGCACTCCTCTTAAAAGCCTGAAGTTTCTACCTCCACCAGACCCATTCAAACAGCAGCAGGTTTTATTCCTCAACTGAATCTGTAGAACCAAGTGCTGGCTCTAACATTGATGATCAAACTTTTGATATATTAACGGATATCACAATAGAAGGGAATTCAATGCATCAATTCCTTTCCCTCTGGTCATTAACACAGGCTATCAAGTTGCTTTAACAGGTAATCGATCATGTTTTATTTACATCAATCGGAACACAGGGCTCTATTTCCCTATCAAACTCCAAATGTTGTACTGGACAATCAGAATCACCTGAGTGAGAAACTAATATTATTAAAGCACAAAAAAGTATATCGACCAGATATAAAGGGAAAATTTGTTGGGCATAATAATACAAGAATAATTAGAATATACATGCCGAGCATCATGATAATTCCATAACAACAACAGATCTGGTGTGACCGATCAAAGGTAGCAACTGACCTCATTGTTACTAGTCTCCCTTTGGTTGAGAAACAGATGATGCTGAGAAGAATGGGCACAAGACAGTACCTGTGCTGATTGATGAGTCTCACGTTTATGACAGATCAAATGATCCCTGGCCTTCACTGATAGCATAAAGAAGCTTCTTGTACATTATTCCCTAAAAATGGATTTCATCAGAGAGGTTGCACACAATGAACATCAAAACCCCTAAATTTTGCAAAGACAACAAAAACCTTGGTTGAGTATGGGGGAAGTTTCAGGTAGTTAGCACAGGTCATAACACTGGGTAAGTCACCATCAGCTGACTCAGTTGCCCCAGTTCCATTTGTTGTTCTATTGGATAAATTTGAAGAATGCTGCCATTAACAGCAAAATCACATTGGTATACGACAGCATTAGAGTGAAGAATATAAGAAGCCTGATGAACTTCAACCATAATGAGCGGGATATACCTTTTTCACTATAGTCAACTTTGGATTTAGTGCAGCCAGGCCACCAGGTGGAAGCCTTGGAGCACCAGTCACAAACTGGCAAAATGCGTGCTGCTGCTCTGGTGTAAATTCCCCCATTATCTCAAGCAGCTAAAGAAACAAAATGAATCATAATATACAAATTCATCCATCGATACAGTACGTATTAAATTCTAAACAAAGAAAGAAAGTACATACATTGACGATCGCAGGGCTTTTAGCTGTGTATCCATGATCAAATTTTATATGATCAACCAGCGTCTCAGGCTGCACAGAACATGGAAATGACAATTCTGTTGTTATAAGTTTAGAATAGCATAATAAAAGATAACAGCCAGCATAAGATTGTATACCTTCCACAATTCTCTGCGACCACAAATTAGGTAGTCAAGTTCATGTGGACAAAATATTTGCAAAGACGATATGTCAAAGACCTGAAATGGAACGAAAACAAAAATTGTTACTCCTGGAATACTTGCTGGTGGAACAAAGATCCAAGTAGGTCAAACAATGACAGTAGTTTAAGGAAAGTAGTTCAAAATATGCTTCTTGAAGACATCATCAATCGCCATATATCTGCATATCGACTAAAACCAAATTCTTAGGGAACTGGCATCGTGCCATGTTGAGGAAATATTCACATGCAAGCTGATACGAACTAGGGCACGCCATATTAAGTGGTATAGCACTACAATACAACATTGAAACAACAAAGAGACACACAAGATTATCGCAATACGATGAACAAAACTGAATGCCCACTCGTATTATAGTCAGGGAAGGAGTTGGTTTTGTGATGGTCACATCAACATTTCACGTGATTAAAAATCTCCCAAGAGAAACTAAAAACAAAATGTACAAATGGAGCTTTTCATGCTTTCCCCAAGCGATGCTGACAATAAACTGACAAATAATACAAATCAGAAGTTCAGACCACCAAAATTGAGCATTCCTAGCATTATTGGTTGCTTTAAAATAGTGTAAATTTAGAATACAAATTAAAGCTCATACTAGACAAGATGGAGGTAAGGACTTGGAATGTTCAAATACCAAAGTGGCATAGGAAACTACCAAGACAACAGAGCATGCAGGAATCTACATTTAGCAGGAAATATAGTATTAAGAGGGACATTGTGGTCCCTGTAAGATTACCTGTATTCGTATGATATAATTTGATCTTATTGTTGGCAACAGTCATTATTTTTGCTTTGAGCCATGGAGCTTCTTTTCATATGTGTATATAGCCACAACGAAAGCAAGTTATGCTGGCTTTTATTTCGCGTGGTTCATTGATGAGGATACTTGTCTAAACCAGTGTCATTATTAGCCGGAACTGGTGTTTCCATGCAGGCTAGTTTTCTGTTCATTGATGCACTTCAACTACATTCTGAGCTTAGTGGAGGTTCCAGGAGTTATGCTGTTCTAACAATGACATTAGGTGATCAAATTTCATTTTATTCCAATAATTGCAGAAGATTCAGCCTCTTCACTGATAGAAAATGGTATGGACTCTTTTGTTTGCTTTTATATGTTTGGTTGTTGGACGATTGGTTCCAAAAATTAAGTTACATAAAAGTCCAATAGTCTTATCTGTTGCTAATAACCATTGGAAGTAGTCTATTATTTTGGGTGAAACACCAGAGAAATAATGAAAATTACATCCTTGACTAATTTACATTTTCCTATTTAATCATTGGTTGCACCACCATCTGTTCGTTTTAGTATTTTAATCACAACACTAACATATTGACATAGTTAGCCTTATTTCTTGGCAATCTGAAAAATAATGTGATTGCAATAGTTTTAACAAAAAGAAATAAGATGTGACTGTAACAGTGTTTAACAAAAATACCCTTCATACCTAAGATGTAGTTAACAATAAAAACAAAAGCAGCCTTAGCCAGTCTTCTCCAATCTTAGGTGTGGCATCCTCAATGATCACCCCTTCTTGCTCAGGGGATACTAAAAGTATATATCATTAGTGGGTTTTAACTTTTTATGTGGTTATTCTAGCAACAAAAAATAGAATAATGAAATTGATTCTTAAAATGTCACAGCTATATGTCTTGAGGATGCAAGAAACAGAACAATGCAAACCAGAATACAAACTCAACTTTTGCTAGACAAACTAAAGTGCAATGTAAGATCTCGGAAACAATCTTTTTAAGCAAAAAAAGAAAAAACAAAAGCTACCTGATTGAATCCTGCTCTAAATGCATCCATCTGCCTCGTAATTCCTGTATTAGTAATAGCATCAACAACCAAGGAAATGTACTCCTCCAAATTGTTGATATTAACCTGAAAAATGATCTCATCAAATACTAAAAAAGGTATCCTGGAAGTTACTGAAATAGAGAATATAAAACTATATTTCCTAAGCTCTCACCACAGTGCTTTCCTCTCCTTTAAGTATGTAATCAGGATAGCCAGGAAGAGTAAAATCTAAACATAAGTCTTCAATTGGAGCACCATGGAATTGTAAATCAGCAGTTGTCTTTCGACTGTCACCAGCAGTTGCATCCATAAACTGTTTGCAATGAACAAGAACTTGCATTTCTTGTAATGTCTTTCCAAATTCAGCATCAAATGACAAGATGTCATACAAATCAAGCTCCTGCAATCAGACATTACTTTCATTGATTGTTTATGATGACTAGATTTAATAGACACTTATGCAGGTACTCTATAACTTACTTGACCCAATACAAGTTTGTAAAATGCTGTAGAAAGTGGCAGATCCAAAAGCCTCCCATCTTGTAGAGCTTTTGCCATTGTTTGACCAACCAGACGAAAATACTCTAAAACCTTTGAAAACTGGCTACCATCAGAAGCACCTACATTAGGCGACCAAGGACGAGGAAACAAACCAAGAGGAGCTTGTATAATATCTCTTCTTTGAACAGAAAAGTTGTCATTATGTATCTTCATTACTGAACCATCATCAGTCTTTCCATCTTCCATTTCACCTCCAATTTGCATCACATTATTATCTGATCCATAGTTGGATCTCCATAACCCCAATTCAACCTTTTGCAAATCGTGACTCAACAAAGTATAAAATTCTAAGGTTGGACCCAACCCTGTTCCAACTTCACCAAAATATTCTACTTCAAGGACAGCCTTCTGACTAGAATACATCTCCATAACTTTTACTGCAGAGTCCAAGATTCTATTTCTAGAAACACGAACCTTTTGTCTTTGCAGTCGACCAATGCGGACCTCTCTTTCATTTGCTGAATTAGGATTATCAGCATTTTGTTGTTGCTGAAGTCGATGCAATGCACGAGATAGTCCAAAAGCTGTAGAATAGAAATACTGTCTTCTGATCTCAAAGGGAAAGAGAAAAGGGCATGCTTTTGTCATTTGGTAACACCATGGAGGAACACTACCACTACATAATGCCAGAGCATCCTGAATTTGGCGGGAAAGTTTCGGCGTTAACTTGGTATTAACAAACTCTTTTGGAGGGACACTTATACCAGTCCTATATAGCCCATCCACACCAGTAATCTTACCCTCGGCAAAATCATCACTTACTGCTTGCACTCTCAGGCGAGGAGTCAGCTGATTCAGACACTCTAAAACACGCAATAATGCCAATATATTATACGTAGGATTAGTTTTTTCAAGATCACAAGGAAGATCAGCTTGCAAAATGCTATCCAGTAGTGACTTCTTTTGCCACCTATTTTCACAGCTAGAATTGGAAGCAGAAGCAGATTTCGGAGTCTTTGACATTGAAGAAGTGGAGCCTCCTTGAGAAGTCCTGTCAGCCTGGCCATCAGCCTTTTGGTATGTGATGGTAAATACATCATTGCAGAATCTACTGCCATCACTGGGTAGATCAGATCCATTAAATCTTTCATCATCCTCTTCATCAAGAACAAGTTGACGTTGGAAAGCTTGATAAATGGTCCAATGCTTGCTAAGCTGCTTCCCTCCTGCTGTGAATATCAATTTGTTGCAGTTATCACTAGCACCAGTGCCTCGACCACCTCTGATACCTCTGCTGCTTAAAGAAGCAAGCCCAGCCATAGCAGCAGCAGCAAATGACATTCCCCTTGAACCAAAAGCATTTCCACTTCGTAGTTCAGTGGACTCTGAGTCTCTTGTAGAGATAGCCCTATCACTAGAACCTGATGAAGGTTGTGCCTGACTACCACTTGCAGAAGGATCAACAGCCGCATCATCAGCAGGATCTAATTTGACATCGTGTACCTTCTCTGGTACACAAACAGGAAGAGTCTCATCTTTGAGCTCCTGAAAGTGTGATAACAAATCAAAGCATCAATGGCAAAACCACCAAGATTGGATGAAACATGACCAACTAATTTGAAAATGTATTATTATAAATTTCAACTCCTAGACGCACATTTTACATTACAGTGAATCAACCAAACTCGCATAAGCAGATTATCACTATATTGAACAAATCAGTACTAATGAAACATAACACTAATAGTAAAAAATGTAGAAGGACAGTAAATCAAACACAAAGGAAAATAAATAGTTTGACATACCACCTCCTCATGATCATCGTCTTCATCATCTGAGACATCCTCCTCAATCATAAGAGCATCAATCTCAACAGGAGACATGTCCATCTCATCCTGTACAGCATCAAGATGGTTCAATAACAAAAAATTAAAGCAAAAAATATTAGTAGGCGATTGATGGGTAAGACCCCTAAAACCAGTACTGGTCCATAACCCATGCAGCCACCCAATAACCAGAACATCACCTATAAAACATATCAACCTTAATGATGTAGATGAACTCCAAATTACATGCAATTTTGATTGATCAATTGCTTTGTCGTATTTCAAATTGTATCTATAAGATACCACTGTTAGAAGGCACCAATCCGCAAAAACAATATTAGCAAGAAAAAACATCTGAAGCTTTAACATATTAATAAAACCCTTAAAGAAGCACCAATTTAAATTTCTATAATACAACTAGTTCCCAAAGTAAACATAGTTCAGATAGACCTTGGTGCCACTGCAAATCATAGTGACAGAACTTGACATTGTAAATCCTTGAATTTAAGAAATTTAGATAGTAGAGCATCTTCAGACTCAGAGTAACCACCACTTCAAAATTGGCATCATTGTGTAGATATTTTGCATTCAGAAATTTGGAATGGCTTCTACATACTATATTTTCATATTGATGAAGCATTCAACTCAATTATTATTTGCATTTTGAAATCGAAAGAAATTGGACCTTTACATATAGGATCAAATGGTCTAAATCATAGGTGTTCTGACTCAAATACGAAAGCAGGAAATACATGTCCAGAAAACTTCATTAAATGCCCCAACAAACAAAACTAAGTGAATTCAAGCTAGAAGTTACAGAAAAGAGTAAACTAAGAGAATTGTCATTAAGAACAATCTTTGGACTCTCAGGTGTTTCCCTTTATAGAACTAATGTCAGAAGAGTACCCATGTATCTTTCCCCCAAAATGATTGGGAAAAGAATCTTATCAGTTATCATCAATGTCGAGTTATTGTTGTCATTATCATTCTCATCACATATAAACCCCATGGGTTTAGAATTTACAATTTTGGTTATAATCAACAATATGGTGCTTTGTCTTGTTCCAGGAATGGGTCAGAACTAATTGTTTCAAACATTACCAATCAAAACATGCAACCATGATATCTGATATGTACACACAAACAACACACCAATACTTTTTAAGTCTAGAAGATATGATATGCACAGAGGCCCATTGGTTAGTCATGAAACTATTTTATTTTGTCATGTTCTTCTTATTTTATGCACGTGGCTAAATCTCAACAGTCATTTTCAATAAAAAGTGCCTTCTCTAAGACCTGGCTTTCTTTGTGACAGTTTCACCAAGAATCTTGTCACCTTATAGCAGATTCTTCTTTTGTGCAAAATACAATCATGTCAAGCTTCATGAGTTTTATCTAGCAGCTTTCTCAAATATGTACATATACATACATATATGTGTATACCAGTGATTGCAAAAGGCGCTCGGGCGCTCGCCTAGGCGCTCGGGCGAGGCGAGGCCCGAGCGCCTCGATAATGTCCCAGGCGGCGCGCTTCAAACAGGCGCCGCCTGGGCGCTTGCCCGAGCCCAAGCGCTGGGCGCTTCGGGCGAGCGCCTGGGTAAACCAAGGCGACCGAACCAGAATTTTAGGTCTGGTTCGATCCTGGTTCGGTTGTTAGTTGGTTCAATCGAACCAACTAAACCGATATAACCCCAACCCTAACCCTAACCCAACACTAACCTACTGCTGCTCTCGATCCCGATCCCGATCGCGATCTCGTCGCTCGCTGCCGCTGCTCCCGCTGCCGCTGCTCGCCGCTGTCGCTGCTCGCGCCTCCCGCGAGCCCTCCCGCTGCTCGCG